ATCCCGAAAAGGAACCAGTTTGATCACACCATGTGTTTAAGGCACCCAAGAAGCAACTCTAGCTCGGAGTTGTCAAAAGTACGGCCCTCTATTTGGATGGTAACCCAACGGAACGTTGGTTGTCAACTCGCAGGCGATGTGTGCGACTTCGACACCTCTAACTGCAGCCAGCTCCGTGCCGGCGGCACCTGTCAGGCCTGGCATCTCGTTGTTTGGCTGTTTTTGAAGCCACGGCTTCAAAGGGGTGCTCGAGCCTACCACAACTTATCAACTTTTGGGGCATGCTAAACAAAAGTCAGTTAACAAGTTGAACTTCTACGTTTAGGACACGTTGGCGTCAGATTTTCTCCAAAAAGCGCATTATAATTACAAGCCAACCAATCCAAGGGCACCAGGCCCCTTTTCAAGGGCACAAGGTTGCGGAATCAACCATAGAATCCAATAATAGCCTGGTTCCATGCGAGCTCCCAGAAGGCTGGACGTCTTAATGAGGGCTTGAGCTTCCGCGCAATCGCCTGGAGTCAGTGGACGCACTCCTGCCATAGATCAGCCACCCAGCTACAGAAGGAGGGGCTCATAAGGGCTCACTCTTGTTTGAAAGACTTGCATCGCCTGAAAAGATGCCGTGTGAATGTCTTCATACAGAGTCTAGAAAAACATTGTAAAGGTCAACTACGAGTACCTCACTTTGCTGCCGGTGGGTCTGTGCCCCCCTGCTGCTTGATTTCAATTGGAACCAAAAGGAAACCAACCATGTTGGTCGTCCACTAATACAACCCCGGGCTGAGGTTCTCAACGCAATTTAGCCATTATGAGCCCGCTTTCTTCCTTCAGCCACGTCCCCCAAGGTCCGCAATCGAACCCTTGCTGAAGGATGGCTACTAATGAACAGCACGATTGCACCTGACCAAGTATTAATGGTGTATCGAGCACCAAAACACATTGTCTCAGGTTACGGGATGTTCACTTTGACTGAAGAGCCCGTGCCAGGTGCATTGTCAGGTGCCTTTTCTGGGCGCATCTTCAGTGGGTCGTTGCCCTGCTGACAACACCGTCGCAAACCGCCTGGTGGACGTGGAAATGCCGCTGCCTGGCTTTGCTATAAACGGCAATGTGAGTAAACATTCAGTACCATCTTACAATGATTCCCTCAATTCGAGTGATGGTGGTGAAGATCAACATCCTTACCTTGGCTTGTGGTTGAAACTGGGCCCCACACTTCAAGATGCCAGGTTGCTTGTGACCAGCGCGTGCAGGCAGCCCAGTCCTTGATTTCGGATGATCCCGTGGCACCTTGTGTTCTTGTTTTTGAGGGGCAAGGGTTTTGCTTCTTTGTGTAGACGTGTTTCATTTGCATATATATATATAGATGTATATATATATATATACACACATACATATGTATATGTATATATATGTATATATGTTTACTCACATGGTTAGTGGGCTTCCGGGCTTCCGAGATGTTGCGGTGCTCACTTGGCCGAGGAGTTGCATGTTGGACTGCCCCGTGTCCGAGATCCCAGAGGCACGCGGCCATAGAAGTGGGGCTTTTGTGTGGCACGTGTGCCATCTTCCACAGTTCCCAGCTGTCAGTTTACTCCTGTCAATTGGTTGCATCTCCGATCCATGACCTATTTGATGAAGGCTCACCATGGTTTGGTCTTAGATATGAGATATGGTTGGGCGTGGTTGGCACCGGGTCAGGGGCCATCCCCCAGGGAAATGAATCGAAATGGTTGGAACACAATCGAAATGGTTGGTAGACAATCAAACCCAGTGTAACTTATGTTCACAAGGTCCCCAATTAAGATTCATACCCCCAGATCTCAAGCTTGCATCGCGGGCTCAACACAGGCAATGGGCACAGGGACAAGGACCAACACCTTGCGGAAGGCCAGAAGAGTAGATTCACCGAACAAACCTTCCCCGAATGCAATTTGTTGTGCTCGCCGCCAAGATGAGCTACCATTTCGCAGGAGAACCATCCAGAATCCAGCGTCGGCAAGGGTGGCAGGGAGCTAGATGCGCACTCACCATAGAACAGCAAAGAAATTGAAACGGATTAATTTGAGTTGTCGCATTTAGGCCTTCTCTCAGAAAGCTCTACCGTTGGATGAAAGTGGAGGGCTCACTCCCCCTGCGCCTTATACCTCTTTGGATCTTGGCCCTGCGGAGCGGGATCCAGCGCGAAAAAACGGGTTCCGATCTGGTGGATGCCACGGGCAGGTTTTTGCGGTAGGAGGGCGGGGGGAAATTGTCCTCGGAACCACGGGGCGCCCCGCAAAAATCCGCGGGTTTTCGTTTGGCTGTGCTTTCCAATGTCCCGAAACAGGGGTACCAACCTCGAAAAAGACAGACCAGCCCTCTAGTCTATACTGTCCCTTTTTTTGGCTGGCCGTCCTGGATGGCTTCTACCCCACAACCACTAGGTGAAAACGGGGTATGTACCCAGTAGCCGCTTTGGCTATATTCCCTGGCGGTAATGGTTGGAGTGAAA